TTCTATCCATCACTTTAAAACTCTATTACACTTAAAAATTCAAATAAAAATATTACCCTGTGCTATTATTTTTATACTTAGTTTGTCTAATTTCGAATTGAAGAATGTTAATATAAATAAATTGTCCCTCTTATCACGTAGGGGCGTATATTCCAAGAAATGGATATACATATACGCCTGTACGTGATAATAGGGACGAAATGATTGTGCTTGGCGTTTCCGAAGGTGTTTTTATATATAAAAAAAAGTTAGTTTCAACAGTTAACAAAAATTTTTATTAAGATTTGAACCAAGTTTTTTTGTAAAAAGAAACAATTAATAATTACCTACACGGCAACCATAACTCGCTGCTGACAATAAAAAAATACTGGATTGATAATTTTAATGTTAGTGGCATATTTCTAAGTCTGTGCGCAAGTCATCCAGACTAATTAATACACATTCATCAATAACATATCAGGATTTACCTACCACTTTATCTGATATAAGTTCCAGATGCAAATTACTCGACAGAAACTATGTAATTGGCAGATACTATTTTACGTCTAGGTAATAATTTGCGAAAGCAAATATGTGTTTAATGTGTATAAAAATAACCTTTTATGCCTTATCTCGAAATCAAATAAAACAATAATAAGCAACTCTTGAAGCAGCTAACTACTACCTTATTTACTGAATAAACACAATACAGCAACTGATCAATAGCATGTGAGAAAAATTTTCTGCCTTCTGCAATGTTTATTTTTGACTGCTGACTATATTATACGTAAACATTTACACAATTTAAGCGCTCATATATATTTTATTGAAGAAAACAAATCCTCATAACGGTGTACATACTTGAGCAGCTGCAGACTTACGATAAGCATGCATTTTTTAAATGTACCGGAATGCTGTGAAGTAACCGGATTTTGGCCTACAAAGTGAATCCTAGATTTTGTTTTATCTCCTCAACATCAATTTCGCTTACGCTGGGTGTATAAAATGAACTATTTTACAAATTGTAAGATATAAAATAAGTCACAAAAAAATATACACTACATCATTCTCAACCGAAAAACATAAGCATGCCAAAATTATAATTTAAAAACAGGTTTTCATTACTTTTACTTTTTTGACATATACAGTATTTTACATGTACTCTATGCCGTCACTTTTTTTGAAATTTCGGTAACAAAAACCAAATCAAGAATTTTAATATTGATTTCTTATGTTTGTTTTGTTTCGTGATATTGGAATGCATCTAACCTAAAATAAGATTCAGATTAACTGAATTAAGGTAAACAAGAAATCTTGCCAAGTAGATATTTCAAAATTAACTATTTTTTTTAATAATGTCTAGCTTTCAACGTAATATAAACAAAAATATCCCGTTCACATCTCCAAAGAAGTTACAGAATCTCGAAAACCTGGATCTAAATCAAAATTGTACAATAAGTTTGAATTATAGGCTTGCACTGAAAGAAGTTGACATAATTCAGTTTATAGTAAAATCTTTAGATTTAAGAACAAATCTTAATTCAGATATAAAATAAATATGAAATATTTTTTGACAGTCAGAAATAAAATAATTAGGTACCATTAATTCCGTTTATAACATTGCATAAGATAACCTAGTAGCATAGTAATTAAAAGTATTAATAGTAATTACTGCTACCAAATCAGAATTTGCAATGTCTAGACCAATAATTAGAAAAGATTATTGAATACTTCTATTTACCTATATCAATTTTAATTAATTATTTCTTAAATGTAAGTCTAAGATGTAATATATTCAAGTAAAATTTTATACGTAAGCTCCAAAACTGCTATTTGGATATGATGGATATCCTACTACTATCGAAATAAATGAAATAGACCCCTGAGTTTGAAAACCGATATTAAGAAAACGTAGGGGCAAAAAATTGAAATTTAGACTATTACTCTATTGTGAGCTAAAATTTCAGTTAGTTCGTTATCCCATTTTTTAGTTATTAATGAAAATGTTGAAAAAATCAGGGTTTTCTGCCTACGAAATTGATACCTCTCACTTTAACTCGTCGTAATTTTTTTGTTAGTTGCTAAAAAAATTACAAAGTCGAACTATTGCCTTTAGTACTGTGAAGGTCATTTGTCTCAAAAGCTCTTCTCTTGTCTTTCGTTTCTTCTTTACCCTAAAGACAGAAAGTCACATATAATTATTGCATCCTTAACTTTTTTAGTTCTACTTCATTTAAAAAGTACTGATCTCTAGATAATTAGAAGGTTCTACTTACTAATAACTGGTTTTGAAAAAATTCATTTGTTATTATATTGGCAAAATTGGTGTCCAGATAAACGTTGCCTAAATTTAATATATGACCAAAACACCTTGAAGAACTTTTGAGATAACAAAAAATATAATATGTACCATTTCCTTTTAAAAGGAGTATATTTCGCTTCCTATCAATTTAAAAAAGAAAAGAAAACTAGAGTTATCTTTATTTTTGCTGTACTATCCATCATAAAAATACCAGGAAACAATATAGGGCCATATTGAACTTTTAAATATTAATTATTAGAAACGAGCTTTCTATTTATCCCTGTAATTTAATAAGCCTCTTAACCTTTATGTTCTTTGCAAATTTCTAATGGTGTTGTTATAACATATAACAATTTATTATGTAATCTCTTCTCTAGGAAGTGTATAATGCAACTATTTATAGTAATAATAATTTGTGCATTGTATTGACTTTTTCCAGTTTCTAAAGTTCTAATATAGAAAAGTTTTTGCTACTGCTGTTTATGTCCTAAATTTCTTATAATGTCACCAATGAAATATGAACCAGTTTGGAAAATTTTTTATTAATCAATGATTTGACTTCATCGCTTTTCCATTGTTTATACTCACACTATTATTTTTGCTTAATAAGTTAAAATGTCAACCAAATGCACAAAAGCAATTATATGATTTTCTACATATTTTTATATTTCACATATTTTTTAAATGTCGAAAGTAGCGTTATTTCTTAAAATTTTAGTAAGTTTTTAGATGCACTTACAGAAATCAACTACGATGATTCAGTTGGTAAATCAAAGCCAGCTCCGATTTTTTTTAAACAAATTTCTTGAAGTCAGTGATTTCTTTATTAAAAATTTGGCTAATCAGAAAAATATTTTTTAAACGTACTTATAATTAAGTAAATACCTATTTCAAGTTTTTGTTTCAGTCTAAAAAGTCACTGGAAATGTCTGAAGACAGAATATTAGCCATTAATTATTGACTTTGTTGATTATGATCTGTAAACAATAGCATCTGCTTATAAATTTTTTTCATAATTTTCAGCATGACAAATTTTTCTCAATTTTGAGTCCATAGGCTGACTATTGTTTATCATTAATTGCCTGTCATTATCCTGCATAAATTAAAATTTTTAAGTACGTACAAAAGGTTCTGTATTATAAATTGAAGAAACTTATGATACTGGAGCTTTAAGTGTTGCTGATTAAGGTGACTACACAGGGATATAAAAGAGGATACAAAAGAATTTAATCGACTCATGTGTCTTAAAAAAATTTTAGAGGGGTGTTTTGATTTTTAAGGGTTACACCAATTTTCAGAATTTTACAAAACATTTTATTTTCAGCATTTGTTTTTAATTAAGCATTTTCATTTAAAAACAAAGCTGTATAAAATAATTTACTTTTAATGTTAAATAATTTACCACGATAATTTTAAAATTTTGTTATGTAATGCAGTTGACCTAGTTTTCAATAATTTATTCCAAAATCAGATTTAAATTGATTTCTTATTAAAAAAATTCAGTTGGTTTCGCTGTTAACATCAAATTTTATTTGAGCTGAATATATTTGAAAAATGTATACAGAATATTAAATGAGTTTTGTATTGGCTCTTTTCCATGCTTATAATTTGATTTGAGTGTCTATTAACATATATATGTAACTGTAAAAACGCAAAAACTCTTTAACGCGATGAGAATATTAAAAATAAAGTCCTATAGAGGTTTGCCTATGTTACGTTATACAGGGTGTTCTGAAAGTCCGTCAAGAAACTACGGATTAAAATATTAGCAGTATGTAATGAACATTTTTTCGAATTGTCAATTGTTTACAAGTCACAAGAGATGGTATTTACAGCATGGCAACTTGATTAATTGCAGAAAGAATTATCAAAAATTTGATGTTTAATAACACTTTAATAGCGATTAACAGCAATTTCCTGCTAAAGGGTTACATTTATCGATTTAAATTAAGAGTACCTACATAATATTTTTGATATTATTTTTCTTTTCAATAATGTTTTAAATTTCTGTGATGTTTAGCAAGAGAAAAAGTTATTAACAAAACAAATTTTGAGTTCTAGGTAAAGTGCCCTCTAGCGGTGCATAATGAAACTTTTCTCTGACTAGTCCAATACAGTTTCATCTACTTAGTGGGTGTGCCAAATGAGAGCCTAATCGAACTTGAATTAAATAAGTTATTTAAATAGTAAAATAAAAAAAATTAACTTTGAGCTGTAACTTGCAAACAATTGACAATTCGAAAAAAAAATTCATTACATACTGTTACTATTTTAATCCGTAGAATCACTTCCCGGAGTTTCCTGACGGGACTTTAAGACCACCCTATATTTAAAAAAATAATAAACAAGTTCCTTTTACCGTATTTCGAAATTTTTAACAGATACTTACAGAAAATCACGTGACTACTATTGCACACGTCACCTGGAATTATTTTTTTAAACAAAAGCTACTGGCAAATTTGATTTTCAACAAATTTTCCCGAATGTCTTTCTTTGATTACACTGTATAGATAACACATACAATTTGTTGTACTGTTTTAATTATAATAAAAAGCATTAAATTATTAAATTTCAAATTTGTGAGAACATAAAACAACATGAAGTTGTTAATAATTAGTTGGTTATTCGAATTAAAAATAAGTACAAACCACTCTGTTAAACATCGAAAAACTCGGCAAATCAACTCCATGCCTATAAAAACTTAAACCCTCCACCGTACCTTCTAAAGATTCAATAAATAAATCCCATATAGTACCTTTGAACTTGGTCAGACTTTCTTCGTACCCATGCGGCTTCTCATCCGTCCTCCTGTACTTTTCCGGGGGCCCATCGTAATACGCCTCCTTAGGGTCGAATCCTAATTTTTCCTTGTAGTAGTTCTGAGTAGACATTTTTCACTTATTAGCACATTTACGCGCACTCCCGAATCGTATCGTAAAAAATTGTTAGGACAGTTCGATAAACAAAATTTTTATCAGGCTTAAAACTACGCTTAGATCAACTGCGATTCTCGCCAGATAATCACAGGTGATTCTAACACTTTGCTATACTTTCTCTGTCTGTTTTTTAAAGTCTTTTGGAATGTTTCGTTGTCGTTCGGTTTTTCGTTGAGTTCGCTATTCTACACTACACTACGATGGGCATAGTCTCTAAGGAAAAACAGGAAAATTAGACACAATTAACAGTTGATTACATAACGCTGCCAGTGAAGAGATTCTCAATGTTTTTAACTGCAATAGAAACCCTTGGACAAACCTACAACTTTGTGTTGACCAAGGAAATAACTGTTTGGAACTAACAAGTACAAATGCAACGTAATCAGGGTTTAGGATTATCGATTTGAGGGTGAAATATAGGGGTTGTTCGTTATAGAAATGCTCAGTACTGCAAAAATATAGAATATAGTATTGAATACATTCTGGTTTTATATTTACATATAGTATACTCTATTAATAACACTGAACAGAAACTTGTACCCAGAATTTAAATATAAATTTTAAAAAAATTATTGAAAAGAATTTTTTTTATCAAAATACAGGATTGTAATGTAAATGTAAATCGTCTCACGATATTTCCATGATAATAAAATAAGGGTACCTTTTATATAATCTTTTTTCACAATCGATTAAAGGTAGATGGCATATCATATTTTTGAGATATCTTAAAAAATCTTTCGAGATATCCTATTTATATTTTAAACTTATATTTAGATCTTCTGAACATTATTTTAAGCAGTATTATCAGTATGTTGCGTAATACGAGTATGCAGTTTTTGGGAGCGACTATTAAAATTCCAGAGACAACTTTTTTATGTTATATCAATTTATAAAATCTCTGGATTATTAGAAGGGAAAATATACTTTTGTTTTCCGTTTTCCAAAAATTCAGGTTTACCGAGAGTGCATTTGTAGCCTAATAATAAATTTACATAAAATAATACCTTAGTTATGTTGTGCTGCATTTATTTCCATCAAAAATAAATTAAAATTTTTTTCAAGCGATAATACAACTACAGCCCTAATATTATATTTTTTTCGAAATGTTTCAAAGCACATGTTCTAGATGTTATAAAATTTTACAAATATAAACCTGATAATCATTAAACAGCTCGATTTATTAAAATTAATCCATATTTTTCAAAAGATATTTACAATAGAGTAAAAATGAAAAAGTTAGTGATGAAATAGTCACTTTCTAAGACTACTTACATAGCACGTGGGATTTTAATACTGCTCAAATTAATATCTAGACCTCTAGCCCTAAGTTTAAATTCAAAATGTGAATAAGATATATCTAAAAACTTTTAAGATATCGCAAAAAATATACCTAAAGACGTATATATATTTTTTATCGTCTACTTTTGAAATGAAAACATGTTTTGATGTACTCCTAAAATATTGTAAAGAAATTTGGGACTCCCTACAATTATTTTCAAATAATATGAAGAAACGCTTCTTTTATTTGATCTAGTTTCGTTCCATTTTGAATAATTATTTTTATCACTACGGTACTAAATACAGGGTATTTCAGAAAAACAGTACTACAAATTCTAAGGATAATAGAAAATCTAATATTAAAAAATACGATATTTTCCTATGAACTGTGATTAACTATGGAATCTTGCACAATATTTACTTCGTGCATGGGAATGTTTTGCTTCTTGTGAATAAAATCCTAATACACATCTATTTAAACAATTAAAACAAAACTTCGGAGTACTAACTCGAAAATGAAGCGGTTTTACGGGAGAAGACATTATTTGTGCAGAATTAAAAAGGAAAGTAGAATAAGTATTTTCCCTTTATTTTGCACCTTGTATCCCAACTATAATAGTTATGTTTAGAGAAACAAAAAGCTGTTTCAATTTTCATCAGGTGCCAGAATTTTATTTCAAATCAAATAAATGAACATCGGACGGTGTCAAAATGAAGAGAACTTTGTATTTTTAATCGAACATCTTGTACATTTTATATATTTGGAAATAACACCTTACTATTTCAGAGATATAAGGTTTGATGGATCTACCTCTAATACTAAGAGAAATAATTGTGCCATATGGAAATTCGACCATATCTTGCTTACTATAAGAAATAGACCAATTAAACCTTATAACCTTACTTATTACTGTAATACCTGGTAATAAAGTGTTCTATTCAAATACACACATATGTACAGACAGAGTGTTCAACCTCAACTATAACTAGGTATTATTTTGGGAAATTGAAAACATAATTAAATATAAAACCGCCAAAATATTGAACAAATGAACATTGTAAAGGTGTCGAGAAAAACCGACTTTTATTCATTTTTTCCTAGTCATAAAATTAATCCCGCAAAAAGTAACGTAAAATATTAGTTTAGTTGGCAATTAAAAAGCAAGTAAAAAGTATTTACTAAGAATGACTTGATTTTTTTTTAATACTCCTTTAATTACTCCTCAGATTTATAGCGTGCTTTTCCGAAACATCTTGTATAAATTTTCCAATTATGTTATAAAAAAATTATTTCAGTTCAAAAAAAAAATGTTATTAAATTTAAAACGTAATTGAATGAATTCAACTAAAACTACTTTATTACAAATGCATGGAATTTTAAACTAATGCAAATTATAGTCAAATACAACTAAATATAGAGCATTAACGGTAACTTCAACGATAACAACAAACTTTATAGGTTTTTACAATGATGTTTATCATAGGTAACTGTCAGAATAAGCAAAACTAGGTTGTTTTGTTGATGTATACCCGTATAATGCAGTCAAACTTAAGAGATAACTTAAGGTGTATAATAATGGGTACCCCATTTTATCGACTACAGGTTCTTTCATCAATCTCCTGATTAGGAAGTTTTTTTTATAGATTCCTAGAAAATTTAGATTGAACCAGGTAAGGTAACCAAACCCACCTTTTGCTAGAAATGGGCTGCATTTAGGTACTACAGTAACTACAGTATCAATAAAATCCAGAAAATAATTCAAAATAATCCTAATTAAGTCGAAAATATACCACTTGTAGTTTGGTTGACCTAAAGATAATTTTATAGGGTAATAAATCTTATTCCACTGTATATTTAAATCATTTGAGTACAATCTTCGTTAAAACGGTTAAAATTTAGCCTCTCTTTCAACATTTTAGAAGGCCTTGGTGCGTAACAGGACAGAACCCAATTTTTTATTAATCCAGCGAGTAATTGCAGATTTAGTTACAAAATGACAGGTTCGCAAGTAAAATTAATAACAGTAAGAAAATAATTAATTTATTTTATTTTGATGCTTTTTAATTTGCATTTTTCATGTGACAACATTAACATTTCGCAATATACATGTTTTGAGAGTAAAGAGAGTAAATATACTGAGAACGACCTTTACTTTAAGAAAACGGAATTTTAACATCATTAATGTTACTATCGAAGTATTGTGTCGGTGACATTAAGCTGGCTAATTTTTTGTAAGGATCTAAGCAATCTGTCCTTGGAAAAATATCAAACGTGATGTATATCAAATTAATAAATGAAGGAACAAATATTAGACATAAATCACGATGAAGTAACTATATTATCTCTATGCATATTATTCTTAGCGTAATACTGAATGGAAATTTAAATTTATTATTCCGTTACTTGATCAACTGAATAAATTACATTTATTTTTTTCAACACAGCTCACTGTTCAGATGCCTTCTTAATATTTTTTTCATAAATAATTATTAATGTTTAATGAATTGGATTGCCAAACAAAATATTTTTTTACTCATATACAGGGTGTAACGTAAGGGTTGGGAATAAATTAAAGAGTGGATTTTTATTTAAAAAATAAATATTTGTCATATAAAGTTATGCTCTACGAGGTTTCTTTCCAAGCTACAGGAGGCTAAAAAATTCAAAGAATTCAGGTTTTTAATATCATTTTCAATGCAAAAGTTTTTTTTCAATGCCTATTTGACCATGTTCGGTGCCTGAGACATACTACATACTTCATAATGTTTCTGTTATTTTTATTTTCCTGTTAGCAGTGGGAAAAAGTGGCATTTACAAAAGTTTTATTTACGGAAAAATTACAAGAGCTAGAAATAAAACGCAAGAGGGTAATTATGTTTAAAATAAAAAATGGATCAGAAAAGAATATTAAAAAAATTTGTTTACCAGTGGCGTACCACAATTTTCTTCGTAAAACCTTACGGTACAATCCGTACGCACGCCACTGAGTAACTCACAAAGTCAATCTTTTTCCTGTTACTAGGGGATTATCAAATTAAGCCAAGGCTAAAATTTCATTCCATTATCTTATAATGTTCGAAAGTTATTGGAGAAAAACTAAACTTTTCGAAATTTTTTAGCGCCCTGAAGCTTGGAAAAGAAAACCCGTAGAGCATAACTTCATATGAGAAAAATTTATTTTTTAAACCAAAAAATCCACCGTTCAATTTTTTCCCAACCTTTACGTTACACCCAGTATACAACAGTGACGAATATTTGTCGGTCTAGGCAATGAAAATTTTAAAAACTAAAATAAATAACATTTCACTTGACACATGCCATATTCTATGTGATAGTGACAATTTAACACATACATAATATATTATTTTCAATTAATTATATGAGTAGAAAAAATAGTTTTTCCAGTTCGATATAAATAGGTTATTTTTTCGTTCGATATTTTTATCTCGTTGCATATTATACTATTTTGTTTATATTTATTTAAGATTTCATTTCAAATCGATAACTTCATTGTCTTTTTTCTTTGTCTAAATTAGATAGTTCAGATTATATTTTGGGGAAAATATAGAGATGACTAATAAGATTAAATATTAGCACATCCATATACCAAAATCACAGATAACTGCTAGGTTAATTTACCAAGTATATTATGATATAAATGTAAATTGTTCTATGAAACGTCTAATTTATATTACCTAAGTACATACATTCATATTTTTTGAAAAAAATATGAGAGAAAACTAACTAAATGTTCCAATATCAGTAATATTAATAAATATTTACGATCTATTTGTCACATTAACTCAATGTCTAGAATAAATATTACAGGGCAAAAACTACGCGTATGTATCAAACTATATTAGTTTTTCAGACGAGTGTGTCGTAGATAAAACTTTTTATTGTTTCAATCAATCAATGCTAGCGACATTTTTATCAAAACCATTTACCGCAATCAGACATTTTATCAAAGTAATGTTAAAATACCCCAAACGCACTGGCAAGCCGTTCTGTAATCCGCTAATCGTGTATACGTACGAACAACACTCACAAAAACAAATTATGGCACTAGCTATATGGCAATTCGAAGTTATGATATACCGACTAGAATGCGAGACAAAAGTCGCGCGCACACGTTGAACTGCTCAACAATCGGTGGACAACTGACAATCGGCTGCCCGTATGAAAGAGAAACAAACGCGAATCATGGGCGACTCTGACCACTTATGGAACATACGTGTAAATCAGGTAGGCCGCGATCTACATAACGTAGGAGCTGAGAGTAGGTCTGAGATATAGGAGTCGATGCAAAAAATGTATTGGAATTATTTTATAGAACGAATTCATAAACAAATAATTATTAGTGTCTTTGTCCCTTCCAAATTCTATTATGAAATATCTGCACACATCGTCGTAACACATCAGGTTATGTAGTTTTACAAGATTTACGTTGAGTAAATGGGGAAGACCCAAATTAAACTGTAAAAAGTGAGATAAGTGTCCCTAAGTTGACTGTCAAACTTTTACAGGACGTTCCTTAGTTAAAATTAAAAATTCTTATAATTAGGAGTCAATTCAGATCTCCTTATGACCTGTTGACAATTATTTTCTCTAAACATCTTAAACTAGTTGAAGTATCGAAACCAAATTTGGTACCTATAGGTTTTTTATTATTTATGACAGTTATGCAGCGTCATAAAAAATATGTTTTTTGAGAACCACTTCCTCATTGATCAAAAAAATTTTTAATTATTTCCCTGTCTATCCGAAAATGTAAGTTTTGTTTATACTGAATTTGCTATAGTATAAGAAAAAATTACTGATATTTGCAGAATTTCCAAGATAATTGTAAAAATTTTCCGGGTCGAGTAATTGTGAACTAATATCGATGGGCATTTTTCAATAAACAGCAGTTTTTTGTCACCAAATAGGAAACATTTTTGTTTATAAGCCCAGAAAAAGTTTTGTTAATCTGGAAATTTGTTCAATAATGACCATATTTTCTTATCACAATAATTATGTACTACCTACTGAAATTTTTAATAATTCCATAAAACGTAGACAAACCTGATTCCCTAGCATTTACAGATCTATGAATTAATTGATAATTTCAGGATTTCCAGGATTTCCAGATTGACTTCCAACCTCTATTTATGATATTAATTAGATAATCATTAATTAATTACAATAATATATACAGTATAACATATACAGGGTGGCCAAATGAAAATGAAACAGGGCAATTTTCAGGAACTGCGGAAAATTGTAGAAAAACGCTCAGACCCGTCGATTTTAGATTAAAGGAGGTCATTCTTTGCTGGTATCTTTGACTCCGCCACTTTCACCCCCAAGCAAGGGTGAGCATCACCCCAAAATATTTAAATGGCATTGGGGGTTGAGTAATATTTCTTTTGAAAGCTCTTACAATTCTCTTTACAACAGACTTTAAATTTTATAATTCCGCCCAATACTTATTAAGAATTTTGATTTTAAAGTTGAAACTTATGTACAAACAATTAGTAACGGTAAAAATGTCAGTCATTCGAGTTAAGTACGCCAATGGTATAAATTTAGTATTTCTTGCGTTACATTGGTTTTTGGCGATTTGTTATCACTTTCGTAAAAAAACACAATTGTAAAAAACAGAAATGAATGCTATACACACACAATGAACGTAAAATTAGTGGATTCCAAATTATTTTCTAGTATTATTTGGAAGCGTTGGTTGGTAGTTTATTTAATTGTGTTTTTGAAATCATTTCGCTTTACTTTATGAACAATAAATGTGCGAATAGAACAGCTCAGCTATTTAATGAAGAACATCAAGATGAGTTAGTAAAAAAATTTCAAAAGACAGGGAACGTAGCCATTAAAAAACGAGAAATTGAAAAACATATAGTTAATGAAGCTAGTGAAGTTTCAGTTTTGGGACAAGTTCATCTTGATCCTCCATTAAGTACGAGACAGCTGGCATCTATGTCTGGGATCAATCGAACTAGCATACAAAACATTTTGAAGAATAAATTCCATCCATACAAAAAACATTTAGTCCAGGAACTTCATGAGGATGATTATGACCGCCGTTTGCAATTTTGCGAAATAACGAGTGAGCGAGCAGGAACGATCCACAGTTCTTTTTTAACATCTGTTTTTCTGATGAATGCAGTTTTTTCTTGAACGGGACGGTAAATCGTCACAATTGCCGCTTTTGGTTCGATTCAAACCCAAGAGTTTTTCACGAGGTGCATACACATCAACAGGAAAAATTAAATGTATGGGCTGGAATTTTTGGTGACCGACCATTTGATTTTTCAACAGGACGGTGCTCCTCCTCCATTATGCGTTAATTGTCCGTCAGTATTTGAACCAACGTTTTCTACGGAATTAGATTGGGAGAAGAGGCAGCATTGAATGGCCTCCACGATCACCGGATTTATCGCCCCTTTATTTCTTTTTGTGGGGATACCTAAAAAGTACAATTTTTGTTCTCATTTATTAATACGGGGGTACCTACAGCTCATTAATCTTTAAAAGTTATCTCTAATATTAAAATATATAACTTTTTTCATTGATGAAAAATATGGATTTATTTTATTCAAGTGCTATACGTGATGTAGGTATACTTGAACTAGGTGTTTAGCAGATATTCAAAACATTTTCAAGCTGTAGAAGTGTCGAATTGACAGACACAATAAAGTATTACACATTAGAAGAAAGAACATTAATACATATATCGGAAACCGTAAGAGACAGAAATATAGTTAAATTGAATTTTATTTAGTATTTAAAGAATTTTATGAAAATGGAAAGATATCTATTTATAACTATTATGCTCCTATATTCGAATTAAGAACTAAATTTTCTTTGAAACACTAAAAATTGGATCTTCTAGTACCTTTTTTCAACAATAAATTAGTAAATATGTACAATTACGTTACAGTCGTATTAGCATACAAATCCAATGATAAACTGAGGATATGATATAGGTACACTGCATATTTGAAGGTACATATACAACATTTATTTTTTTAAATAAATAAATTTAAATCAATGTTCATCCTCAATTAAAATTTCTTTCAATCTCTACTCATGTCACCTTGGATTAAAACGTAAAGATTGCTGTTTAGAATTTAAATTAGTTTTTATTACTCTAAATGTTCCAAATATGGTTTTTTGTAGACACATAATTTATGCTTTATCATTTTGCCATCCATTTATTATGTGCTTGCTACGACAGGTAGAACCAATTGAATATAGGAACTAATTTTAGAAATATTCTTGATTACCTTGAATATTGTACCCTGATGAATCAAGGAGCAAGATACGAGTAAAAATGATTTTACAACACCTCAAAAACAGAAAGAAAGTTCATTACGTATAATATAGATATATCACATGTAATACGTGAAAAATAAGCTCAACATGATTTATTATCACAGTGAACTGAAGCTTTGGTTTGACAATGCAGTCAAAAGTATTTGTTGAAAGGGATGAACAAAATATGTCCAGTTAATGGTCTTGTTTTTTTTTTGTGTCCTAAACACTACATTTTTTATAGACTGTGTTGTTTAAATAACTAAAGAAGCGTACATTTACAGATAAGGAATTGATTTATCTGAACAAGAATGTCAAGAATATGTTGCATCTTCCTGTTATAGGCTAGCTGATTCATTTACAAACAGTTTACTAAGAAAACAAGGAAAACGGATACAGAGCCTAGCAACGTGTGGTGCTTCGCAGAAGGAAATCTAAAAAAACATTTATAGTAAACCTAAACGTATATACTTAGAACAAAAGAAATTTTGCAATAAATATTTAACAATAAAGATGACTTCATGGTGAAATATAAGTGAGTTTTACAACACAAAATATATATACATAGATAGGTACTGGTATGGACAAGTGACTAATTTAACATAAAATTAAAATATTTTCAATTTTTTCTCTACATTTTGCAATATATTAAAAAAATGGATCAAATCAACTTGCGCTAAGATTAAGCAAGGATTGTTTTTATAAAATTATTAGCCAAACCAGAGATCTCACATTGACAAAAATAGTACCATCAAAAATAACATCAATGGTACATATATATATTTTCTAATAAAGAAATGTTAAGTGGAACTGGAGAGCACCCTAACTGCAATGTGCCTATTTTACTACTTTCTTCGAATAAAGATAACAGTTGGTAGCAAAGTATTTGCCACACAAAATAATTATATAAAAATAAGTTAAATGTCCCAAATATCGACCACTTAAGCTTATAGGATAATAAAGTAACATATTACGAGCAATTTTTATGAATCTAACATAAAAAAATTACTACATTTTTTTTTTCATTTAGGGAATGTTTTTCACTTTTGTTGTGTTTACCTTAAGTTAAATTTATTAAACAAATGTTAAGGTGGGTTTGTTTGTATACATATTATCGACCACCAGAGAAAAGAACACGATATTTATCGTCACAACAGTGACCCAATTATCAACACTTCGTTATAAACACGTAAATCGTTAAAAATGGTAGGTAACTAAACAAATAAATTATATTTTTTAATAGGTAGAAATTAGAAACACAATTAGGTAGAAACGGAGATATAGAAATAGTAATATTAAAATTGGTAAATTTAAAATGAAAATCAAATATTGACAATAATTTAAACATTTAATACTAATTAAAAAAGCAGATTAGATTTCGACACACCTTCCTTTAGTAATTTAGAATGTCTTAATCTTGTATGGTCATTTCAAGTGTCTAAGTGTGCTCAAGAGACAATTCAAAGACAAACTAGTACATAACTATTTATAAATTAAAAATATCTATCCAAGTTATATACTAACGAAATAGCACATATGTTGAAATCATTAAATAACTTTTTAAAAAACTATTTATTAACTAATTAACTATTCCTAGATATGACTGACCACTTTAGAGAAACACCAATATCAATCAATCAAATCTAAAATCTAAAATATAAAATCTAAAAAATATAACTCTTTCTTCTATACATGATAATTCTGCCACGGTTTTAATGATGATAAAGAAATTTATTTTTACTTATCTTTATTAAGAAAAGTGCACCTCATTATAATATTTCATTGCTCTTTAAAGCAGTTTTTACGACATCTTATAGGAAATTTTACATTTTTTCTTAAAAATAATCCATTTTCTA